CCTATTTTTTTTTTAACCTACTGTATTTTATATAAATGAGTCCCATATTTCATTATAGTTGTCCATACATAGTCTACGTCTGTAGGCAATCCGTTCATAAGTGGCAAGTGTAATCAGGTCTTCAATCCGTTGAGTGAATGGGGCCATACATTTATCTCTCCAGTTTTGCAATATCAGTCTTTAACCATAGTAAGGTCATGGAGAATCCATTTGCGTTGTCCAGTTGTCAAGTTCCATGTACTAGGTATACAGTTCAAAAGAGTATTATCCTCTGAAAATTTTAGCTTTTGTCGCACAATCATATTTATATAGTCTAATACTGTCTCCCAAAACTTAGTAGGAAATTGTAAAAACATGTGTTTTAAAAAAAGCATTATCCTTATTAATCGACAACAAAATGCTATTTTTGACAGTCCTTTTCTATACAAACATAATGGAGTCCAATAAATTCTAAATATTATTTTTTGTTGTATAAGTCGTAATTTGAGGTCCATTGACACTCTTTGCTATAGAAGTTAAGACACTCTCCCATAGCCTAGGCAATATAGGAAACTCTAATTCTTTATTCCACTCATTTCTTATCACCTGCATATCAAACTTATTTATTGATAACAAATATCTATACAAACTAATAGTAGGTTTTTTAGTTTTAAAGGATTTAACAAGTTGTTCTAGTATCTCAGGTGTCTCAGAAGCTGAAAATTCTGCTGGTCCAAACAATGTTATTAGCAAATGTTGTAGGTCTAAATATTGCTGTTGGGTTACATCTGATAGATGATCCTTATCTCTTAATACAGCGTAAGTTAACAATTCATCTTCATCATCTGTCCATTGGTCCAAAGTCAATATCCCTGCCTCTATCCAATTTTTCCATATCACCATCTTTTCCCCAATTTTTAAAATTGGGTTTCCTCATAAAGTCAATTTAGCATGGGAAAAAGGGTCAAATCTTTTTTTTATTAGGCATTATATTCCACAGCTTTCTAACTGATGTAATTGTTTCCAGAGATACTGGCGTTTTAGTGTATTCAGGTCCTAATGCTGTCCATCCAACCAAAAGTACTGTATGTATTTATGTATTCCAAAGTTGCCCAAATCAGAAAATTAACACCAATTGTTGGTTTCCAGTATTTAATACTTGACAATAAGTAAGCATTATGATATAGTTCCAGATTCGGAAAACCGAATCCTCCCTCATTCATTGGTAATTGCATTTTCTGTAAAGATATTCTCGGAATCAAAGAACCCCATAGAAATTTTCTAAACAATTCATTTTCTGAAAATATTTTCCAGATATATAATTTTGGAATTACTGTTGAAAAATTTAAATTATTTCTTGAATAATGTGTGATATCAAAATGTGTAATTTATTAATTCTCTTTTCCTCTAGGCATTACTGTAAATGGGTAGCAAAGAGACAATGTTATAATCGTGATCTGGAGCAGGATGAGGCCTTCATTCCAGCTGGGGAATCATTAAAGGATCTTATTGACCAATCAATAAGCTCTGGCAGTGGGTCAGGACTTCCTCTATTGGTAAGCCAGTGGTTTAACAGTTCTTTGGTTTACAGAAGATTTGTCTAGGGCTCAGGCATTCTTGAAGGATAACAATCAAAATTATTTCAGTCCAAGTATTTTGGTTTCCTATGGCTATGATTTAGTCCTATTGTTTTGAGCTATTGTATGTTTTAATTTAAAAGAAATTATAGCTGTATTTGAAACGAATAATTTAAGTGCCCAATCTACGAAAGAAGAATTCTCAAATAGGTCATTATCTTCAGTTCACATCTTTTTAAAATAAAGGCTTTCAAACACCTCATTTGCATCCTGAGAATCATTTAGTGTTGTTTTTCTTTCTGAAGGTACAACGGACAATTGCCAAACAGATTCAGATGGTACGGCAAGTTGGAAAAGGGAGATACGGTGAAGTTTGGATGGGTAAATGGAGAGGTGAAAAGGTGGCTGTGAAAGTGTTTTTCACCACTGAAGAAGCTAGCTGGTTTCGGGAAACAGAGATTTACCAGACAGTTCTTATGCGCCATGAAAATATACTAGGTAAGTAAAGAAGTTCATGCTGGAATTGGATTGTGTTGTCATTGAAAGGATATCATATATAATGCAACATTTCTAGCAGAATTTGAGAAGATGATAAAAGTTTTCTCCAGGGTGTTTTTGGTTTTTTTTAACTGAGTTTCATTTGCACTGTAGTTTTTCAGACTTGAAATATATTCTCCAGTAAACTGAAAGTTAGGTGCGATGAAAAGCCATAATATCACCGTATAATCTACTATATTCCCAGTTTTCTTTCCTAGAGTGCAGAGTAAGCAAAATTATTCTACAGGATTTGCAACTAGTAGCATATGTAATTTATATACAGTCCTGTTAGAGTAAGTACCCCATTGACATTTTTTTAGTTTTTCAACATATTTCAACATACAAATATTTTATCATGATTTCAACCATATTGATAGATAAAGGGGATATAATATAACAAAGATAATGCACTGTTTACATATTACATTCCATTCTGTAATTTAAATAAACATAAATGCAAACTTTGCATGTGGAAAAAGTAAGTACACTCCTACATTTCTCACTACTTCAAATACCTAAAATTAAAATCAGATGCACCAGATCAGCTACAAACAATTAGGACATTATTAGAGAGATTCCGGGAGAAACATCTGTCATTTAAACCTCCAGTATTTAGTTTGACTTGCTCTTTGTTGTTGAAATGTGTGATATCACCATGCCTAGATCAAAAGCGTATGGTATCACTAGAGCTAATAGTGTGGGAAGGGACTTAAAAAGATCACCAAATAACTGGACATCAATCATTCTACTGTCCTGAAGATCATCTACAAGTGGAGAAGATTTCAAACAGCTCCCAGCTGCCCAGGCCAGGCCACCCCAGCAAATTCATGTCAGAGTGCATGAAAGTACCATTAGAAAGAAGGTGCACAAATTTGATCTATATGGGAGGTGTGCCAGGAGGAAGCTTTTGTGATCCAGAAAGGACATCAGGACAAGACTAAAGTTGTTCATGAACACATAGGCAAAGACTAGGACTTCTGGAACAGTTTTCTGGACAGAGAAGGCAAAGATAGAGTTGATTGGCTACAGTACCAGAGGACATGTTTGGCAAAAACAAAAGACAGCATTTCACCAGAAGAACCTGTTACCAACTGTAGAACATAGTAGTGGAAATGTTATGGTGTGGGACTGCTTTGCTGCATCAGGGCCTGGGCAGCTCACCATGATAGAATCCACTATGAATTCTTTATCATACCAGAGGTTGCTTGAGGATAATGGGAGAACATCTGTCAGAAGATTGAAGCTCAACTGAAAGTGGACATGGCAACATGACAAGAACCCTAAAAATTTCAGTAAAACCACCAAGGAATGGCAAGAAAGAAAGAAAGAAAGAAAGAAAGAAAGAAAGAAAGAAAGAAAAGAAATGGAGGGTTCTGGAATGGCCAGGTTTAAATCCCATCAAGATGCTGTGGGGTGATTTAAAACAAGAAACCCCTTCAAATATTGCACAGCTGAAAAAATTC